TTTTTTTTTTATTTATTTAATTATTTATGCACATCACACATACAGTAAATAGAGAACAAATACAGAGACAGAGGTACATAGGTACTGCATATTCCTATATGGAATCTCTTCCTGCAGTCCTTCGAAAGGAAAAATGTAAGAGACATAAGACACTGTGTGATAAACTGAAACAACAGGTAAAAGGGAAATAGGAAATAACAAACAAAACAATAATTTAACCTAAGACTAAAACTAGAGCTACAGAAATAAAATAAAACGTATAAGTATATATACATATACATAAATAATATACATATATTAAAGTATAACATATAATATATAAATATGAACATAACTACTCTGCACTGCAAGAAGAAAGGTAGTGTTCCTTAACAAGGTTTTTAAATATAAATATGGACTTAGCATCGCGTACGCTAGGCGGAAGGCAATTCCACAATCTTACGGCGTGGACAGAGAAGGAAAAAGAGTAAAAGTCAGTTTTGTGCGGTATAACAGAAAGATGGGATTTGAGATGCATTCGAGAAAGGACCTCAGGAGGCCGGACAAAGGAGAAACGTTCGCGAAGGTAACTGGGATAATCTGGATTATACAAGATATTGTAAAGGAGGCATAGAATGCGAGTGTTCCTGTGAAGGCGAATCGGGAGCCACTTGAGCCTCTTGCGAAATTCAGAGACGTGGTCATACTTTTTCAAACCGAAGACAAATCGAATACAGACATTTTGCAATCGCTCAAGCTTATTTAAAAGCTCCTCAGTGGCATCCAAGTAGCAAGCATCTGCATAGTCAATCAGAGGACGTATCAGAGACTGCACCAGGTGGATCCTCGTTTTTAGTGGCAAGAGAGACTGTAGGCGTTTTAGTGAATGCATGGAAAAATGCACCTTACGACTAACCTCACTCACCTGACCACCCCAAGAGAGGTTACAGTCAATATGAACACCTAAGTTCTTGGCAGCATCCGTATAGGGGATAACGTAACCATTTAAGCTCAGAGGATCGAGAGCAGAGATGTCCAGAGCGTTGCGATAATATTTACTGCCAATGATCAAGGCCTTGGACTTAAGTGGGTTGATTTGTAAGCCAAAGGATTTGGCCCACTCATCAACCCCGCCCAAGTCACGATTCATGGCTTCTATCGCTGAGTCCGCCTCCGACAGATTAAAATGACGGTAGAGTTGCAAATCGTCCGCGTAGAGGTGGAAATTGGAAGTAATAACCTTGGCAACGGTATTAATAAAAATGGAAAAAAGAACTGGAGAAAGGATACCACCCTGTGGCACGCCAGCAGCCAGGTCACACCAATCAGAGAAGGATTCCTCTAAGCGGACTCGTTGACGGCGGCCCGAAGATAGGAATTGAACCAGGTCAAGGAAGATGACGAGAAATTATTAGACTTCAGAATACCCAACAGGATATCAAAGTCTACAGAATTGAAGGCAGAACTGAAGTCTAGCAATACAAGAATAGTGAGTGACTTACTGTCCATGGCCCAGCGAATGTCATCAGTGACTTTAAGCAACGCCGTGACAGTGCTGTGGCCAGGGCGAAAACCTGACTGAAATGAAGAAATGAGGCTGTTGCTGGATAAGTAAGCGGTTAGCTGTTTATGGACAATATGTTCCATGACCTTGGAGAGGAAAGGGAGGATAGAAATTGGTCTGTAATGAGAAACGGAAGAAGGTTTATTAATTTTAGGTAGAGGGATAACGTAAGCCATCTTCCAGATAGAGGGAAAAGAACAAGAGAATAAGGAGAAATTGAAAATATGGGTAAGAATAGGAATGAGGAGATGCAGAATAGGAATAAACATTCGTGAGCACAATTTATCACTACCCACTGCTGATGACTTAACAGCCAACATTGACTTTTTTACGTCTTCCTCAGTGACATTATTTAAGACGAAAGGAGAACAGGGAGACGGTGGTAGGCAGGACAATTTGAAAAGAGTGATAGATTTAGAAGTGTCGTCTAATGAAACAGGTGAGAGCGAAAAGTGATTGTTTAGTGCAGCCAGATCAACGTCATTTGAGGCAGACATATTCGATTTGCCAATGCCCACTGATCGCAAGAATTTCCAGACGTCGCCAGAATTGTGGTTCAGCAGGTTCTCGTCAAAGAAGCGCCTCCTAGCATCTCTACACAGACGATTGCAACGATTACGTAAAACTTTGTAATTAGCGAGATTTTTATCGCAAGGTCTGCGCTTTAGTTTTTGTTTGGCCCTGTCTCTGCGAGCCATGGCATCTTCTATAGTAGGCGTAACCCAAGGAGCTGGGTTGTGTTTGACTCTCACACGACGCACCGGTGCGTGTCTATCGAATAAGTCAGTGATTATTTTATTAAAGATATCGACCTTCACGTCAATGTCCTCAGCATCAACCACAGGACTCCAGTCGATGAGGCCAACTTCATGCTGCAACACCTCCAGGTCCATACGCTTGTAACTGCGAAGACTTACATACTGGGGTCTCTGTTTAGGTGTACGGATTCTGTATGACATATAAATTAGGTCGTGGTATGAAAATGAAGCGGTCAGCTGACCATGCTCATCTACATGATCAGGTGAGGACACAATCATCAGATCGAGCCAAGAGGGCGAAGAGTGAGGAGAATGATGGGTGGGTGAGAGATGAAGCAAATGAAGGTTAAAAGAAGATAGAAGTGACTGGAGTTTACGTGAACGAGAATCTTGTTTCAATAGGCATGTATTAAAGTCGCCCATAATTATAACATGGTTATAATTGGGGCGCAAATTGTTAAGCTCCATGTCAAGAGTATCAAAGTAATTGACGTGAAGGTTTGGGCTATATAATACAGCCACCAAAATTTTGTTAACATTAATCGTCACCTCAACGAACAGATACTCAGCCGACTCAGAGTAAAGAGAGGGGGACGCACTAACTACGCGAAAAGGTAGATCAGAACGAATATACACAGCAACCCCGCCACCACCCTTACCAGTTCTGTCGTTGCGGACTAATATAAAGCCCGGAAGGACATAGTGTGTGGATAGGAGAGAAGGCTTAAGGAAAGACTCGGAAATCAGCAGAATATCAAGGCGAGCGTTGCTAAAGGTTGCCAGAAGATCGGAATAATGACCAGGAACACTCTGGGCGTTGATATGAGCAATATTAAGGTTTTTTGGATAAAGTGAAAAAACACTGGATAATGAATCATGAAGAGTAAATTGCTGTGATGCCCCACTGTTCGCACTAATAAAACTAGACTGTGAGGAGCATGAAAAAAAAACTATCATTAAGGTCACCTAAATTATCCATTAGCGTGCAGATAATAAAAATAAAATAAAATAAGATAATATAAATGTAAAAATGATAAAAACAAAAAAGGGTGTAAAAGTTGCTTGTAAATAATACTACCTCCCCAACTTGCAAATGCTTAACGAAGGAAATAAATGTATATCAAACAAGAGAAGCAAAAACATCAAATCACTACACTAATTAAAACTATTAAAAAGGTAATTTGTAAAAGTAAGCTAACAGACAGCAATATAACTAATTTATAATAATTTTGTAACCATTAAATCGTAAACCACCGAATGAAAACTTATTTACACATTTACACTGAAGTAACAAAACGTATCAGCACACAAATGACAGATGTCACAAACAAAACATTCCGTCAAGTGTCAATTCAATGCCAATCTTGATTAAAAGTATACATACTACATACCGGTAAAAATGATTAAAATTAAAGACAGAGGGTAATAAATTACTAAATGGTTATGGGTACAGAGTCCAATTATGAATTACCGCCAAGATACAAAGAATAGTGAAATGATGTACCGTTAACTCAGTCTCTTAGTTACGACGACGCGCCCTTCTCTGAATTCTGGCCCCTGGTTCAGCAGTGATACGAGTAGGCGAACTGGAATCCACAGGTACAGGAACATCGCCACTGGAGCATCCAGACGGGAACCTGGCGACCAGTTCCTGTAGTTGCGTCGAGGACTCAATCTTGTGGCGGGATTTATCGGGCGCAAATGATCACGATTTTGCCCTCCACGGACCAGCAATTAGATAACCCAAAGTGTTTACGGGCTGCAGTGAAGGCACGGTGTCTCAATTGTGTCAAAAATTCCGAGATAGTAATGCCAGTGCCTTTTAGCAACTTCTTATTATCCCAGACAAGGTGACGATGTTCAGTCGTGAAGAAGCGCACTAGAATTGGCCGTGGGCTGCGACTAGAGGATCCCAATCTATGGCACACGTGGATATCACTCGTACCCAGCTCGGCCAACTTCATTTCGTTGCTGAAGACTTTACCAACAACTTCTCGCACTTGCTCATTCCTGTGCTCTGGGACACCATGGAGTAACAAACCTTGCGACGCATTGCAGTCTCGTGCCTGTCGTATCCTTGTGCCAATAGCTCAATTTGTGACTTGAAGCTAGTAAGTGCTCGCAACACAAATTCCTTGAACTCCATGAATTCCTGTTGGAGCGAACTCAAGTCAGCAGTGGGAGATTGTGCTGCAGACACCTTTTCCAGCTTATCCTCGTAGGCGTCCATCCTTGATTTAAAGAGGCTCTGCATAACCTCCAAGTTCACAGCAAGTTTGTGGTCCATAGTGTCTTGTGTGTTTCTACTTGTTTGGTTTGAAAACGATAATTAGCAAGTAAAGGGGGGTCAATTACACTGATGATGTAATTTAATACATTAAATACTACTTGTAAATATATTAAACAATTATAATTTTTACAGCTACAAAAAAGTTAAGTTTACACAGTGTCTACCCACACTTTTTTTGAAAATTTAATAGCTGAAACAAAAAAATGTTTTTCCAATAAATAGGTACATATTTTGTTGCATTGTTTCTTTTTATCTGGGTGTAATTTAAGTTTAACTTTATTATCGTTTTGTTGATATATTTAAATTTTTCAATTTGTAGAAATAATTATACGATTATGAATCTTAAATTATTATAAATAATTATTCATTGTTTAGTTAGTTATCATTAGCTTCAAGATAAAAAGTATGACTATTTTTTTTGGCAGTGGAAAATCGTCAAATGGCCTTTCCCGCCCAGGGTAAGGCGAGAGAGAGTGTCATTCTTACTGACTAAAAACCCGCCCGTTCCTTCTCCTGCTCTGGGCCGAGGCCGCGCTGACTCAGTGCGCTTAACCCGCAACCTTGGCTGAACAACAGCCCTATAGGGCCCCATCTGTAATAGACCACTATTGGCTCTTTGAGGCGCGCGCGGAACGCTACGCGCCTTCCGGTCGGGTTTGGATCTGGTCGGCACGCCCGCGCTTACAGTGGCCGGAGATCGACTCTAGAAATAAATCGTCTACCTAAAAAAGTATGACCAATGCACATTTGTTAATTCGATAGTACCCATTGCCACATTATACATACATGGACATGATACTAGGTGTCGTTTATAGGAATTTGTAATGGTGAAAATTCTGATGTTTATCCCTGTTTACCTCTCGTTGTGTTAATTTTAGCATTTGCCACTAAATTTACTAAATATACATTTTACTTACATTACATGATACCCATATAGGAACTGGTGTAATTAATTTTAACGAAAAGCAAATTCAAAAGAAATTATGCAAGTACATTTATGTTAATTTATAAGCAATAGTATTTAAGTCCAAACATACGAATATAATATATATAAACCTCTTAAAGTGCTTTAGTTTTCTTTTAATTTTTGGGAAATAACAACTTAGGTAAACATCTTCTAATTATTTCTTATTTATTTACAGGAGGCGAGTAAATCACCAATTTTGTGCTTACAAGAAAAGTATCATACCTGATTTCAACATGATTATATTTGAATTACATTTACATTCATTCTAGTATAATTTTAGCCAACAAAGATTGTTCGTGGTCGACAGTTTTCACACAGTTGGTTTTTATTTTAGAATTATACTACAAAACACGATATTAACCTTTCAATCATAATATGAGATACAATAGTAAGACAATAGATGTGCGGTACCAGCGCTCGCTTGGTGTTTATAAATTGAACCCTATAACTAAAGCTAGAAACTTTGACTGTTTAGGTTATCAAAAAAGTATACCCTCCGCTAGCATGCGTCAGTCCCTAAAGAAGTTGGTAGGTACTTTCAATACTTTGAATGATGAAGCTAATCTGATTACAAAATGTTGATATAACTATCTTAACCAGATTCGACAGAATGCAAGTTAATAATAACCTGAAACAAAAGTTTATTAAGTACAAAAGTTTCTCTCCACTTACCTTCCCATCGCTTTTCCGGTACGCATCGTGGATGCGCCAGATTAGACCAGGGCCAGCCGTGCTACTCTCCGCCCCCACCTCGAAGTATTGGAGGATGGGGTTGTTGTCCAGGGGTAGCGGCTGGGGCTGACTAGCCTTTGACAGCTTTGTTATCATCCCAGACATCCCGATGGAAAATTTTTCAAATCTCCCCGGCTCGGAACTTGATTCCCCTGCACAAGAAAATAAGATGTTAAAACAAAAATATATTAAAAAATCTTTATATAAAGCATTAAAGTGGTTGCAAGCGCAATCCTCGAAGAAAGTTCTTGTGTTTGCCTCAATAACTACCTATGAGTTTTCAAATTTTCTCCGGTCTATCGCAATTATGGGGTGAAATTCGTAAGGTATTTGATAAAATTAGGTGCTAAATTGTAAATGTGTACCCCTTTTTTTTTTTTTTGTGAGGGGAAAATCATCAAATGACTTCTCCCGCCCAGGGCCGGGCAGGAGGGAGTGTCAGACTCTTACTGACTAAAAACCCCCCTGTTCCTTCTCCTGCTCTGTGCCGAGGTCGCGGTACCTCATTGCGCTTACCCTGCAACCCCGGCTGAACATCAGCCCTTTAGGGCCCCGTCTGTGGTGGTCTATTGGCTCTTTGAGGCGCGCGCGGAACGCTACGCGCCGTACGCTCGGGCCTGGTTCTGGTCGGGCGGCGAGCTGCCCTTACTCGCCGACCGCAGGCCCGTACTTACGGTGGCCGGAGATCGTCCCTCGATCCCCGACGCCCGTAGTGTCGCCAGTTGCGGCTGCTGGGGCGTGAGGAGGAGGATTGCTCCCTCACGCGGGCCGCCTCTCTCTCGCCGGAGGAGACGGCGTCCCAGTTCCTCTCATTCCGCACCATGGCCTCGACTAAGGCCGGGCGCGAGAGGTCGCCGCCGCCGATCACTTCCCTGAGGATACGGCGGTGCTCAGCCCAGGCAGGGCATACCGCTACCCTATGCTCCACCGTATCCTCTAGGTGGACCTCACAATGACGACACTCGGGCGTGCCCGGTAAGCACCTGCGTCAGACGGAAGGTGAGGACGCCGTGGCGTCTCTCAAGCCACTCCTCAAAGAGGGGTCTTACCGCTGCTATGGTAGCGTGCCCGGCCCTCGGTTGCGACAGTCGCTGTTTCAAATGTGTACCCCTGCCGACCACTTTTGGGCCATGTCCTTTTAGAGTATAAATTGGAAAACTGGAGATCTGCTAGACTTATTCGGAGAAATTATATTTTTAAATGTAACTCAAAGCTTTTTGAACGCCAAAAAATATATCAAAAATTCGTTTAAAAATCGCGGAATACTATTTTGATTACGCGGACTAAATTATGTCTCTCGGATCAGTTATAGGTCGAAATATTTCCCAACCTAGCTTTAAATTATTTCATCAATCCTATCCGAGAGATCGATTAATCTTTTAGCGTGTTTGATACGATTGGTAGTTATAAACCAAACCGAAATACATCCCGCAATTTAAAAAAAAGACAATTTTCGTTGGCCAACGCTGTAACATATAATTTACGGTTTTCTGAATTTTTCCATTAAAAACGTCCATTCACCTACTAAAACTGGTTTTTGATGAGTGTTTAGAGTGATAAAAATGGTAATTTTCTGACGACAACATCTCAGAGATTGCTTGAAAGTCATTTATGAACAGTAGCATCAATAACGAAAACCTTAATTAAATACAAGAATTGCGATCATATTGTTTCAGTTAAATAAAATGCCTACTACCTACTGTGTAAAGTTTTTAGTTAAAATATAATTAAAACAAAGAGATTAAGACATTTGGGAATAAAGACCCTACTAGACTGTCACATTTAAAAGCCGGCGAGTGTTTGGCTAAGATAACATTATGTAGCACGCGTACAATGTCACGTTCACTTAATACGCGCATTTCTCGTTGAAGGTTATACAGCTTGTTAAAAGTTAGCAAGAGAAAGTCTAGGCTCCATTATGGTGTTATGCTGATGTACCTAACTAAGGACTAATGGCTTTAAAGCTTACACTACAAAGCAACACGGCATCGCGAACTTATCAAAGTGCCTAGTGCTAGATATTTTTACGTAAACATGATCGAAATATTTTCGCGTTTAGCCACCTGATTGGTTGGTGATTTGAAGCTGGCCAATCATAGACCTGAACGTCATAAAAGTGTTGATCGCACGTATATCAAAGTCTTCTAAAACAGTAATTGATGCCTAAAAGGAGTCCTCGTAGATTATCATCGCAATACGGATTGGAGGCGGATGTATAAAGAACAAAATGTTCATGGTTTTTTAAAACCATCTACGTTCCTCTGGTCTCGTCACCGTATTAGTTCGAGTGGAGTCCGAACCTTACCTACTATTAGTACCTATTTTCTATTACTGTAGTAGATACTGAATACTTAAGTTCCATTAATAGTCAACTAAAATTTGGTTATTAGCCTAGGGACATTGTTAAGTTAATACTGTGAAATTTTACGTCCAACAACGAAATAACTCTCTCAAAGTTGGCACGGACCAGTAGTTTCATACAATAAAATGTTTAGAATATACTAGACTTTTCAATTTACTGAGTGAATTAAATATTTGAATCCACACTATTGCGGTACATAGTCAGCGATTGACGAGCTCCGATTTCAATTTGCTAAAGTGTTTTTATAACAAACCAAAACTCGCTTTTTTCTGGTTGCTCATTTCCTTTTACGATACTTGCGACCTATGTATGTGTACTATCATTGGTGTGAGTACAGTTTATTTAACCAAAGTATGTGACACTGAACGATTCACTATTTCAATGTAATTAATCTATCATTATTTTATTACGAACATTTGACGACTGAGACTGAGATTGCACGGTTGGTGCGGTGGCTGGGCAACTGGCTGCCGTGCATCGTGTCACGGGTTCGATTCCCGCACGGAACAACTCAACACGTGTACGTGAAATTGTTTGTTTGTAACCGCACAACAAAATACTCATTATGTAAAGATCTGACACTCCTTCCGCCCCACCCTGGGCGAAAAAAATCCTTCAATGAATAAACAGTAAAGAAAAAAATTTTAATTAGTTCTTCTATATAAAATTACCGCGTTCATGTTTCTAAGAAAATCGTAGTATACATATGTGCTTAGATACCATACCTACATGTGAGTAGGTACATGCCCTTGTAGGACACTTAACTAGTATCTACAGAGTAATGTAATTTAAATCTCGATCAGGAGTAAATGAACGTGTAACAAAATCAACACGTCCCATCTTTGAAAATACATAGAGTTTATAGAAACCGGTTTCACGCTACCTGCATAGTTGGCTGATAAGGGAAATTATGTAAGCTAAGAAATACGATTTGTATTTTTAAGCAGTGTTTTAGGTCGACTTTGTGTTTCATATTCTATCATATAGAGGGCTAATGGTTTTATGTGATACAACATAAGACATTTTATAATACATAGTATTTTCGGTTATTTCTCTAAGGTTTTAAAACCTTTATAATGGTGGAAATGAGTCTTGACTTGGTCTAAATATACAAACATATATTAAGATTGTAGCAATTACGGAATTAACTCATACAAATTGTTCCACTTTTTACTTTTATTTAATTTCGTCGTCTTAAAGTGTTGGAAGAAAACGGAATTGCAATTATTTCTTTACTGGAGCAATTACGTAGCATTCAGAAGTTTCAAGGATAACTTTTTCAAGCATTTCTATTTTATATTTAATGCACTAGTGTCTAAGGTAGCTAATTGCTCGAGGTAGCTTGACAAATATTTAGCATGATGTAAAATGATCGCTAAATCGAGAGAACCTTGAGCATAGTAACCATACAATGGTTAATGGGATCAAGAGAAAATGAAAGTAAGATATTTTGTAGTATTTTTAACAATTCTTGAATGTGAAAATTATTACGTAGTCTATAGCAGAGTAAAGTTTAACCACAGCAAATGCTTTTAATAAGATTTCATAGATTTGAAGTCATATTCTAATGTTGTAAACCCAAACACATTTTGGAGACGAATATTCAAGGCACGCTGGTATAAGATATCACCGAATTAAATTCACTGGACCGTGCCGTGTAGCATCTAAAGACGTTCTTGAAACATCATTGGGATATTAAATTACTGTAAGTCTGAAATCTTCAGAGCAAGTAAGCCACATTAATCACAGTAACAGTGCGTAAATTCAGATCGAGATGGATCCCCGAGGAGTACGTTTGTAACTAAACAAAGCTATCTTCATTGAAAGTGATATTAATTTGACTGAGGATTTGTAGGTGTAAGCAAATCTTTTAACTCGAGAGTGATACCAATGCCATGATTCTTAGCTCATTCAAAATTATTGAGACGTTGTTGTATTGTGATGAGTTTATGTACTATGTCTATGAAAAGACACCAGATCTATTTCGTATCTACCAATATGTCTGTACGTAATAATATAATTTAATTTAAGCTTCATTCAAAGCTATTTTGTGGAAATGTTGAGTGTAACCCTTGCTGCACCAACAGTCGCGCCTGCTAATCATAATTATGGGCCCATTGTGAGGCTTGAAACAAGTCGAGTTATCTCGAATTTAAGTAGTGCAGCCTAAATTATAACATTGGCTGTTACGTTAGCTACGATTTAAAATATTTTTAAGTAAGTGTATCTCTGAGTTATATTATGGCCACCCACCCACAAACTAACCCTGACAATCGTTGCTTTACCTAATTGCGGTATATCAGCGCACTGTATGGCATGGCCGCAAGGACCTTGGCCCATTGAGGAAACCGATAGGAGAAGTAATAGTATTCTAGTTAGTTCTAATAGTATCATGTTAAGAACTAACGGTAGGTCTAAATTTGGTAGAGGTGAGTTCCGCGTTGTCTATTTTATGATAAATCCTCATTTTGTTTTAATCAAGTCAGATTGGTATAAGTTGACCTAAAAAAAATTTGTGTTGATTTTTATTATTTTTAAATGAGAAAAACATAATGCAGCTTTAATATGCATCGTTTTCTTAACTTTTTTGTCACCACAACAAAATGAAGATAACGATTGCCGAGAATTACAAACAAAACGTTATAAAAAACATCCAATTGCAAACGTTTTAGAAAATACAGTCGATCTTCAGGTAGGATACTTACGATATGGTAGGTGCAACAATCGTAGTGACATTAAAAACTTAAACTTCTACTTACGTCAACTAAAAACAACTCCGTTTATTTACAAAATTTGACAAATTTAATGCTTACAGCGAATTCGGTCTACTCAATTGTACTGAACAAAGAGGCATACCTAAGAGAACGGTTAGATTGGCATATTGTTATGGTAATAACTCTGATCGATTGATGGTTTGCAGTTTAGCTTCACCTAAGCTTGACCTTTATGCGGTTGTATTCTGCATTCATGAACAGTTAACCACATTTCAGTGGTTTGTCCTTGACAACATTTTGCTGACAGTTGTGATGATTTTCACCCAGCTTTGTTGTTGATTAATTAAAATAATTTTAAACAACAATAAATTTATAAATGTTTTGTTTTCTTAACAGTAATTTGATTTTTTCTTAATTATATAATTAAAAATATTGTTCTAACGAAGGTATTTATTTGTAGCCAAAAAATTATAGCAATATAGAATTTATTTTGAGAATTGTAAATAAATATGATACTCTTAGTCGTGTTGATTTAAGAAACTGTAATCCCTTGTTATTTAATCAATCTCTCTGGAATCTCTTAAGTACTTTACAATAGCTTATAAATACATAATAAGCACATAAATAATATCCATAACGGCTTTTCAATAGTTATCTATTAATTTCCAATAACAATTACTTAAAGATTCAGCTGTGATCACGATAAAATGAAACTAGTAGAGCTTTTCTCAGTATTTACACGTGAGTAACCCGCGATTTTTAGTTAATTTAGTATGTCTCACGATAGTTATTATAAAAACACGATAAAATTAATTTGTTACCGGTTACTGAAGTAAAGATTGTGTGTACTGGTAAGTAAATCGTCTCTCACTCAAAACTAAGAGTGTGCTAGACTATAAACCCAATAGTAATATATTAAAACGAGTCCCTAAAATTACAATGAGGATATAAACCTGAATTCCCTTTCACTGGTCTTACCAAAACTTGGAAACCGTAGATCGATTTGATACATCATGGTTTTTTAACTTATGTGACGAAGCTTAGATAAGATTTAAAAAGGTGAAAAAACAATGCAAATTTTAAAATCATTGTTTTCAAAACTTACCTATCTACAAATATATATCATGGAATTAAAATATTAATCAATTTTGAGACGGCACCTACGGAGTTTGCCGCGGCAGTTAGTGATTCTATATCAGAAGAAAGCGGTTTATAAAAATAATATAAATTTTGAAATCTATGTACATATTGTTTAAATCATTTTTTACATAATATCAACCCGTTATATTACATGTTATGTATGTTTTAAGTGTTTTAGATTGATATAATAATACATTTTTTTAAGGATTACCTAGTTACTCTATTTAAAATATGTTTTCAATAGTGCATAATGTTGATTTTAAGGCAAGTTAAGCCTGTATCGTATTGAATATACTCATGAGTGATCCGTTAATAATGAAAAAATCAAAATAGAAGAGCACTTGAAAGGCAGGAACCTGTTAAGGTGGATACAGATTACGTCAATCGATATTTCGGGCGTCAACGCCGAGGTGTAGACACAAATGCTTATAATATGAGTTTGGAAACCCAATTTAGATTGATTATGATATTTATAACAATATTTTGAAAGAGTAGTTCAATAAATTATCTTTAAAAGATATAGGTAGATGAAGCAATATTGAGAATGGACGTTAATATTTATAAACTTATTAATATGATACGTGTATTTTATTATTTACTAAAAGATATTAGTTGCCATTTAAAATAAATAATATCAGACGTTGAAAAACATGTCACGATTTATTAGTTCTGTCGAAAAAACGAATGTTTTTATTTATTTGTTGATATAAAGTAAACCAACAATTTTATTTATATTTTTCTGTGAGCGTGTTTTAATTTGGTTTTATATTGCATTTATTTTTATTACGTAAAATTGAAAACTATTTAATATGTTCTGATAATATGAGAAAGTAATTTTCTATTGCTTTCGAAATCATATACATATACAAACCTCCCCTGGTTTGTGATGGACTATTTGTTGTTAATGGAAACATAATTAGTTATGCTACCCCGCAGTGAGGACGGTGTACCTACAAGGTTAGAAGGTGCTGTTTAACTCAGAATTGTGCACCTCATTTTCCTTTTAAAGGTTTATTATTTCTTTTAAAGTGTTCATTTCAACACAAGATGCTTTTTTGTTTATTTTTTACAACATCAGCACCAGCTACGTTAAATAAGTCGACTAAAATAGTTTGTCTAGAACTATTTTTTGAATCACTGTTTTTATGTTTTGCTTTCACCTTTAAATTAAGTTTCATTTATTAATTAAGTGTCAGTCTTGAGTAGTCATATATAGTTTCTTGTTTTGTTTTTAAATTACACGGTCTGGGACAAATGGAAATGTTAAGTAATCAGTTTTATTATCAAACTTGCTGACGGAGCTTATCTTTTCACTTCGGCACAGATTTACCCCGCATATAGACATAAAGTTTACTTTATCTTCAGCTATTCTCATACGAGAGAGAATGGGCTTACCTAAACAAATGGATCAGACGCTTACTATAGGTAACGTTGTTTTATATTTACGAAAAATTGATATGAGATCGAATTTACGCTCAATTTCGTTTACGTATTTCGTTCGTCATCCGAGCCAGGGCAATAACGTTAGGATCGAAGCCTCTTATTATCAGATTTTAGTAAATATTTTATAATATACCTAACATCACTTAAAGGTAAACTGTATAATAATAAAACTCTATTATTA